TACCAAATAAGTATCCATTCACCTTCTTTATCGATTTTGACTTTGCTTTCTCACAATATTCATATGTATGGTAAGACTGCATGCATGTTTGCATGTGTATTGGTGTTATTATCATTTTAATTTATTTTTACTGCAGCAAAACAATTTCTCTACCCACATTTTGTACATATTAAATTTAAAGACAAATGTAAAAGCTTAAAAGTAACTAAAATAAACAATATGCACACATATACATAAGTATAAGGAGAGTAAGAGATAAAAAGAGAGTAAGAGCATTAGAGTTTACGATAGCGTGTGTGCGTGTGTGTGGGCGTTGTTATTAAGCGCGGGGTGAGTGTCAATTAACGGAAGCACACAAACATAGAAAGCTAGCATGGCATATACATATATGTATAAATTCATACATTTGGATGGATTCATGATTCAATAATACAAGGTTAGATAATTATTGACAGCTGCGGTTTGACACTCCCTTACAAAAGGTTGCATTTACGAAGGACAGAGAAAGGGCAAGAATGCAATCCCTTGTTGCGAAAATGGTAGTAGAAAAGTACGCAAAGAAGGCAATTAGTAGTGAAATTCCTTTCGTAAATTCTAATGTATTTTCAGGAAATCTCGCATTTTAAACGAAATGTTGAACGTAATATTGATATATCTTCGTGAATTACGTAATTTATATGCTATTTAGCCGTATAAAAACTGCAAAATGACTCAAAATTAAAATAAGACTACTATGAGATCGATGTAAACATCCAATGCTTATGTTTTCAACAGTTAAATATGCTTCATATGCATATACAAATAAACATTTTGCCCAAAAGCTTATACTTTTATTTGACACCAAAGCTACACTGTTTCCATGTAAATTTGCAAAGAAGCAACACGGTGCCACTACTAAGGGAGCGGTGCGAGAGAGACAACTGTCAGTTTATCGAACCTTGTATTATTGAATCATGGGATGGATGTATGTTTTGTTACTATAAAAATCTATAAGAATAAACATAATAGGTATGCGAAACGTAATACATATAATTTTTTGCATAGAATTATAATAAGAAATTTATGTAAAATGAATAAAAATCTCATGCTAAATCAAAATTTATAGGTACCTACCAATTGCAAAATCGAACTCGAAAATTATTACCTTAGAAATTTATAACAGCAAAGCCCGGCAGAAAACCTAGGAGCCTCCATTTTAAAACCCCATTATCCCGAACTGTGTATATATATGTATATACTAACGTACATTAGGGTAGTCCCTAAATGTAGGGAGCACATTTTTACATTAGATTTTCTTAACTCCTACGTCGATGCTGCTATAGTCGAAGATATCACATATAAATTTTGGTCCCGTTTGGAGACGGTTGAGGCGTGTCATACAGGGGGCAAATTACAGGTACCTCTATAGAGACACAAAAAATTAAAATAATTTTTTTTTCGTCTAATACCCAAAATTGATGCTATCATTGTCGAAGATATCACACATAAATTTACGTGTCGCACAGGGGGCAAAGATCAGATTACCCTATGACGACGTCTTAACCGAATTCAATCGGGACTAAAATTTATGTGTAATATCATCGTTTTTCGTTGTACCGATTTTGCGCATTTGATGAAAAAACATATTTTTAATTTTTTGAGTTCTTAGAGGCATCTGGTCTTTGACCCCTTTGCGACACGCCTTAATCGACTCCAATCGGGACCAAAATTTATATGTGATATCTTCGACTATGGTAGTATCGATTTTGGGTATTAGATAAAAAAAAATTATTTTAGGTTTTTGAGTCTCCATAGAGGAATCTGAACTTTGGTCCCTGTGCGACACGCCTTAACCGTCTCCAATCAGGACCAAAATTTATATGTATGTGATGAAGGGGTGAGACTGGAAAAAATCGTTAATTTGATTTCTGAGAACCACTCTTATGTACATATGTTTGTATATAGGAGTGTTCTTTACCGAAAAAAAATTAACCCCTATTTTTTCTTGGAAAATCGATACTTTTCGATTGGGAAACTTTTTCTCTTAAGAAGACCTTCAGTACTAATACCCAATGGCCTATTTAACCATTTTTAATATTAACTATTACTAAACCCCTCAAAAAACGCATATACAAATTTAAGAGTACCGTTAAGTTCTTTATGGTCGGATCTAAATTAAATTAGTATGTGACCACCTTACCTTTAAAACAAGAAATAATTATAGAAATCGCTTAATGTGTTTCAAAATTATGTTGTAACAAACATAACAATAAAAAAAATATTCCGACGAATTGATTACCTTCTCCTTTTTTGAAGTCGTTTAAAAACAGGAATATACTTTTATCGGTATAGAGCAATCCTAGGGTGTGAGAGCATTAAAATTCCGACTTTACTTTTTCACGTGCATTTTCGGACTACCCTAATGTATATACATTTGTATGTTCAGTCGCATTCAGATAAAAGAACTGATCCCGAATTAGGCGATTTTCTCTTTAAAGCAATATTTCATTGGGTTACCAACTAAGACTTAGGTGTAGTTTAAGATACCCTTTTAATAGAAAGTTATTAAAAAATATAAAATATTGTAAGTGCAACTTATTAATTTTTAATTCAAAGTCAACCCTTCTAAAGTCATTTATGTTGTTTTATCAAAGTGCCAGAGATTTGCACATACATACGTGTGTAGGTTGCAGCGCATCTTTTCCTTACCAAAATATTTTCTCCAGCAGCATAGACAATTTTGTCTTTGCATTTTTACCTACTTTGTTCTAAGCGCTCTAAAACTAATTTGATTGCTCTTAGTTTTTTTATATGCTTTGCTTTATTGGGTGCAGCTTGCAAATACATACGAATAGTTTTTTTTTTGCAACCGGCATTCACAATAATAGCTGAGACCTGCAACCCAACAAGCAAATAAGTTTAATATATGTACATGTCTTCCTACTTCCACATAGGCATATGTATATCAAATATCATCTTCAAAAAAAAAATTAGGTAGATTTTAGTTTTTATCTTCAACTAATGCAAATATNCCTACTTCCACATAGGCATATGTATATCAAATATCATCTTCAAAAAAAAATTTAGGTAGATTTTAGTTTTTATCTTCAACTAATGCAAATATTTTTTCCTCGTAATTGTATTCTCGTGTGATCATCCCTGCCTAATGCATTAATAAATCTCTCATTCGATTGTGATGAAGAAGTTTTGTTGGTATTGATGTACTTTAAATGCCGCTGAGATCAAGTTACCGGTAAAAATCGTATTTTCGGAACTTATTAAGTTCAGATGGATAGAGAAATTTTGGAAAAGGGGAGCTGTTAAGTGACATCAGCAGATAATCATGGGCCGAAGGGTTACCAGGACATAAAAGCTCGATTCGGTTTTATTCTGACAGATCCAAGTTTGACGATAGAGTAGACTGAAGAGTATACACTTGGCAACTCGGGTTGACTTGCACTTGACGCCCTTACGATCAAATGATAGCGAACTGCTGCAAATCTCTCAATGTGGTGGCAGAGCAGTTCGCTTGCTGATGATGTCAGACGGGCTTGCAAAAAAGGCTACTTTCGCACCACTTTCCCTGAATTCAAAAGGTTAAGCACGTTGCTCGCTTCCGACAAGCTTATGATAGAGAGTTTTTCTTAAGAGAAGCACGTACGAAGTGGAAATACTCAATTTTTATGTAGATGTTTTATGTGGATATCAGAAAATCGAAAGAGCTTATCAGTNCGAACTGGCTGCCGAGATAGGTCGATCTTCCACTCAGCCATCGAAATACTCTATTTTTATGTAGATGTTTTATGTGGATATCAGAAAATCGAAAGAGCTTATCAGTCCGAACTTAATGAAAACGACGAGCTACGGACCACAGCTGTCAAATTATTTTTCCATGTATTCTTATATAGATATGTAATTATTTTGGCGACGACAGGGCTATGCGACGACTGTGGTTGTGGCTAGATTAGATCTATTTTTATCTTCTTCGCGACTCAAACTCATACAAATTCATGATGTCGCTGCCGCGTTCAGAAATCATGTCGCCATCGACAAAGAGTTTAGATAATGAAGATAACAATTTGGAAGCTGTGGCCCGTAGCTCGTCGTTTTCAGTGTGTTCAGCACTTATATTGTTACATTTACATCCCATATTCTTTTAGGGAGATACGAAGAACGATTGCAAGTGCCCCCACAATTACTTTGTAAAAGCTGCCTTGATGTAGACGAGCCAGAAGTTGTCAAGCATTTCCTACTACGTATGTATGTGAATGTCCTACATTATGTAGATCATGACACATACTTGTCGTCAAATGAGGTAGAAAGCTTCAGGAAAGGCTTTAGTGTGATTCTTAAGAGCCTATCTGTCTGTTCGTTGGTCATATATTAGATACCAGTCTCGTCATAGACAAAAGAGGGGTAAATTGTGTCAAGCTCAGAAAGATAGAAAGATTAGTGCACGAGTATGTCAGAGCAAGAAGCATTGCGACCTGAGAGGTCTTTAGTATCTCTAAAGAAAGTCCCTAACCCAGTATCCTTCTCTAATGAATCATAAAAGGGCCTTGGGACTCTTAAGTAATTTTATATGTCTAGCCAGGGCTGGACAGTCACAAAGAAAGTATGTGTTCGGAAATTGTATCGTCATCAAGGCAGAGCTAGCATTCCGACTCTCCGATGACACCTATGCGGTGCATACGAAAACGTAGTTGGTTGTGGCCCGTTAGGTACCCGGAGCCACAACTTATAAAATTTTAGCCTGATGTTATTTCTGTTCAACTGAATAAAATCCGGTCTATTGAAAGGGTAGCCAAAGAGTTTGGCCTGCCTATGGCACCCCACCGCCTTCCAGTACTTGCTGCATTCAAAGTGCACCCACTCAACAATTATGGTTATCTAAGACGACCAACTAAGACCACATAATCGTTACGGTTCCAAAAAGGCAGTTAAGGATCCTTCTCGCGCCAGCTCGTCAGGGACTTCGTTGCCTTCGGTCCCACAGTGGCCTGGCACCCAGCAACAGGGTTACTGTATTATTTGCTGCCAGAATTTGAAGCTTGCTACAGCAGTCTTTAGCAAGCTTGGATTTCATCATACTGTTTGAGTGAGACCGGATCTCTGCTTGTCTATCTGAAAAGATAACTAGAAAAAGGCGCCCTTCAAACCATCTTCAATGTTAAATTGACGCAGGTTACAGTTGTCAAAACTTGGTGACGGGGTCCATGGACACATGTACTTGTTCTGTTATTCATCCTCGAACCGGATCAAGGTTTACCGTGTGCTTAATCTTCGCGATGTGGCGTTTTGTAAAATACGGCAAATTCTTAAAACCTCTGCAAAAAAAAGCGCGCCCACTCCATGGATTACCTACAAGTATGCAACCACCACGTTCGAACGTTGACTGGGTTGCAGTGCAAATTACCATTGTTGCATGAACAAAGACGCGTATAATACAAGACACGAAACCGGTAAGTGTGGTACACTCTTTGTTTGGGGTTTCTTGCCACCAAAGAGCGTGCATTGCGCCGCCACGATTCTGTGAGAACAGGTTTTAAGCCGAAAGTGTGAGGTGCCTGCAACGACGACGACAACGGCCACTCTTCCTACTCTCTTTTATTGTGCGCACGTGTATGGGTGTGTGTGTGTGTTTGTGTTTCTGTTTGTGTTTGTGTTTGTGTGTGAGTTAAAGCAAGAGTGTATTCTGCATTTTGTTTTTATCACATTCGGCGGGAGCGCGCGCACCTTCGTATTTTTTATATGCCATTACAAATATTCGAAAAACTTATATGCATGTATTGCTCTGTACATGTGAATTACCATTATATTTTTATATATTTTCCTCTGTTGCCTTGGCTCGTCTTTTTTACATTTTCATTATATTTAAGCGTAACGTCGTGTTGTCGTGAGCAGCGTAAGTGTTAAAGCAAAATAATAAAAATTTCATATTTTAGTTTTAAAATTATTGTCGGTGTGTGCGGTCGGTCCGTTTGTCGATCGGACGTCGGTTTGATAGAACAAGTTATTTGCTTGTATGTATGTATGTATGTATGACAAAAGAAAAAAATAAAGTAAAAATTAAATTTATTTTACTTACATATGTATAAAAAATTTATAATTGAAGGCAAAAAGTAAGAAATTTAAAAAATTAAAAAAACGTTTAAGTTGGCTTAAAATCGATATTTGACGTGCATTTTTTATGCTTAAAAAATATATAAAAATTACAAATACATATACATACAAATTTAATTTTTGCGAACATTGGCAAATTGTGAAATCGAAATCGGAAAAATTCGGTGTTAAATGGATAATCATCATCAAGCTGGTAAGTATTACAAATTGTTTTATAACTACAAATGCATGTGAATATTTTCTACTTACATACAATTTACATACATATGTATGTACATACATACATACATTCGAGTGGAATACTACATGGAAATTAAGCAATTCACAATAGACAGACAGTCGAGTTTAGTTGATATTCATGTAGATAGGCCGTGCGGCGCGCTCTGGAATACCTACATACATACATACGTACATACTACACATGTAGATAACATGGATTTTTCTATGCAATGAATAGCGAACGGAGGAGGGTGTGCGACGCTAGCCGGGTGCTACTAATTAAAAATACTATGTATTTGCTGCGCACATTTCTACATACATACTTAGACAAATTTTTGTATAAAAGTTTAATATAATCAATGCGTGTTATTATAAAACTTTTTTTCGCATACATAAAACGCTCCTTTGTACGTCGAGCATTGCCGAAATATGTACGTACGTGTGTATATGCACGAATGTATGTATTTTTATGTGTATAGTAGTGCCCATTTGTGGTGCATTTTAATTAAATTTTATATTTCATTTAAAGTAAAAGTTTTTTTTCATTGCTTTCATATAATAATAATATTTTACTTGATTAAATAGCAATCGCACAAATAATGGCAAAAAAAAGTGGTTCGCTGCTGCTCTACTAACTATGTATAAACTCTTGTGCAAGTAGTAGAAGGAAAAATATTTAAGTTTTTATTCTTTAACTTTGCGCAGTACAGTGCACACGAGCATGTAAACTAGAGTGTGAGTGAGATGGGTAAAATAGAAAAGAGCCGTAACGAAGCCGAGTGCTAGCCGCTGGCGTGATTAAAAATGAGACAAACGAGAGCCATCTTATTACCGATAGTTAATTTGCCGTTAAGTGGCTGAAGTTCTTTTTTTTTATTATTATTTTTCACAAGAGAGAAAGCAAGAGACGTTGACTGAGCGAGCTAGTGCGCACGCTTCTCAGAGAGCTGCAAGCGTCGTTTCACGAAGCGGTATGGTGTTGGTGGCGAATAAATTAAATTGCTGCTGCCAGCCAGCCAGCCATTGCCTGTGCTATTGACTTATAAAATTTTATTTAACTCGTAGAAGTAAAAACTAAAAACAATTTCATCATAGCTACACTACTAGCTCGTCTTGTTCATATAAAATTTAACACAATTTCGATTTTTCCACGTTAGTTTGCCGAGCTGTGTCGGTCACTACTACTACGCTTGTGGGTAGCAAATTTTTTAAAGTAAGAACATTTTTTGCATACATACGCACATAAATCATCGTATGTATATAAAAACTTTCTGAATAATGGCGATGGAAAGAAAGCATTTGATATATTTTTTTTCGATTGCTGGTTGCTATCGACGACAGACACTGTTTAAATCCAATAAAAAAAAAATGCGAAAATATTTGTGAAGATAAAAATGAAAAGCAATGGCGAAAACAAGAAAACTTATTGTAATTGAGCGTGTTGAAAAATAAGCACGCAATTGTGATAAATAAAAAATCTATTAAAATAAATGCGAACTATATATGTACATATGTATGTATGTACATATATATGTATGCAGGTATTATTATTACGTATTAAATTTGAGTCATAAAAATGTGAATTTAGCATACATATGTACATACAATTTCTACATAGTTACTTGCAAAAAAACCCTAGAGGATTAAAACTAAAAATTTTCGGCTGTCTATATTTTTGTGAATTTTGCCAACTTGCACTAGTTTTATACTCGAATGTATGTATGTATTGTAGTTTTATATATGTAGGCAAACAATAAAAAATTAGGGGTTGTATGCAAAACTAAATAAGTACTGAATAATTCTGGCTAAAAAAATTTAAACACACTGGTATGTACATACAAATTTTATTTTATAATAACAAAGGCGATTTTTTTTATAAAAATTGATGAAAATATACCTACAGTGAGTCAAAGGAGTAGGCACAGTGATTTGTTTTGCAATATTTCTATGTTTCTATGCCAACTTTTTTCGTTAGTTTTGTATAGCAAAAGTGAAATGGATTAGAGTTAAAAAATTCCATCAAATGGAATTGAAAAAAAAAACTGGGCAATAGAGTTTTATAGTTCATTTAATTTTTGTATAATAAAGTGTAAGTAGTTTTTTGAGCATATTTCATTTATTTTTTACCAAATTTTTTCGTTATTTTTTTTTAACAAAATTTCCATCAAAATTTGAAATTTCTTAATCAGAATTTGTGGATTTTTTTTTTTGTTAAGAATTAAAAAGAACTAGTTTTGTTTTGGCAATATTTCCATGTTTGGATGTCAATTTTTCCGTTAATTTTGTATAACAAACTCCAAACAAATCAAAGTTTAAAACTTTGTAAAAAAATTAATTAGATTATAAAAACTACTTGTTAGCAATGTATTTTAGCTTTAACTTTGTGCCACGATTTGTTTGTTAGGAAAAATGCAAAATACAACAAAGTCTAGCCGTATGAAGTTATGGCTGCAATGTCGGAGATCACCACATCTCCTCAGCAGGCTTCTTTTTCTAGACTTCAGCAGTGCTCGAACCTGCATCGTTGATGTGCGACGCTAACCACTGAGCTATGCACACCCCGTAAATTACCATTTTTGACCATATTCCGTATGTTGTTTATGCCAAGTTTTTGCCTTAATTTTGTTTGAAAATAAACTTCATACAACAACAAAATACGCTAAAAAGCCTCAACATTTTTTACAAGATTTACATCAATATTTAAAATTTTTGAATCAGGTTGTTTAGTTTTTATTTTTTATTTTTGTAAAAAGTTGTATAGCTCATTTCGGTACATTAAAGTGTAATTTTGAAACAGCTAAAAATTCCCATAGTTCTTTTTTTTAATTTTTCTAATACGAAAATTACCACTCACGATATTTTAATAGGGATGTATTCAAAATCAACAGGAATTTCGAGCAACTTCAAACTTGCACTTTATTGAGTGAGCTATAAAATGTTTAACCAAACAAATTTCGAAAAATTCTGCTTAAAAAAATTATTTTTTTCGCATTTTTTCTAAATTTTGTACAGTTCGGAAACTTTGTTCTATGTATGTGGATTAGTATGAACTACAGTGCCAAAATAACAATTATTTTTGAATATTTACAAGGTTTTTCTAAGTAATATTTTCGACTATTTAATAGAGCTTGAGGCTATTTTTTTGGTAATCAAAAAAAGTACTGTTTATACTAAAAAAAAAAACAAAACAATTACATATATTAACAAACGTTTCAAGCGTCATACAAAACTTAGAGAAATTCTTCAAAATTTCAAGCTACAAAATTTCGAAAATTTCTATCAAAATTTCAAATTTTTACCCACAACCTCTGCATACATATTTATGTATGTATGTACATAGATTTGTATGTACATGTGTAGCTTTTTTTGAAGGAGACGTGAGCTATCAAAGAACGTTGAAATTAACCCTTATTTATAGCTTATAAACTATGATATCCGTTGTGAAAAGAAATTATTGCACGTTATACATAAGGGGAGGGTTACAATGTCAGCTTGAAATTAATAGTATTTTTTTTTTTGAAATGTTCTGCTTAACCCCTTATTCCCCGTTACCAAAATAGTGAGCTTAGATTTAAATTTGCATTTTAAGACACTAACACACTTACATAAGACATCCTGTAAATACCTTATTTATAACTCAAAAAATTACACCCTGTGCCACCAAAATTTCTTTATTGCTCATTCGGCAGTTAACTATCGATTTTCAGTACAAAAACTTAGGAGTCAACTTCCGAATGTTAGTTAAGTCTCGACTGTAAAAACGGCCCTAAGAAACTCAACTTTATAGCCGATTTCCACCGTGCTTTAACTACAGTTTCCGATTAAATGTATTTCAGAACTCGAAATTTCCCGGTCTAAATGAAAGTGTTCACTGGCCATATTATAATAACGTAAGTAAATTTTGTATGATATTTTTAGGCGCATCTAAGCCATAACTGCATATATCTTCTTCAGCATAAATATATAGAAAAATTAAAATTAACTATATTTTTTTTTTTGTTGAATTTTCACGGAGAAGAGTCTAACTAAGGGTCAATAGAAAAGCAGAATAAGCAATCTGCAATAAGAAGTCGTATATTCGAGCTAAATCCGATGCATTGCTAGTGCTTAATATTTTTGGAACTTAAGTCAACGCTGTATTGTAATTTAGGTTTTGGTGGAATTGCGTTATATTTTTATGAAGTTAAGTAGATTTTTTTTCTTTTCAATTAACAAAAAAAAAACTTGTATAAAATATGTGATTTGAAAACAGAACTCTAGAATCTAGAATAAAAAACTCGAAAATGAAATCAAATTTTAATAAAAATAATTTTTTTTTAAATTAATTCATTCATAATTTTTCCAGCCTGAGTTGACAGCTCTTCGACTTTTTGCTCGCATAAATAGCAAGTCAAGGTAAAGTGACACAGCATCTTTTTATCGCTCACTCCGCATAATCGATAAGTAAATGTAAATTGAGTGAATAACAGTAAATATTTACCCATACGTTGTAACTTGTGAAGAGAAGAAAACAATTTCTAGTACTAATTAACATACATACATATGTATATGTATATAAAACTAAAAAATTGTAGTGTTAAAAACAAAAGCAATTAATAACCAACTTATTAATATATAAAAATCTAGTTTTGCATACAAACAAATGACGTAAAATTTGAAACGAACTCAAAGGCGTATCTCGCGATCAAAACATTTAAAATTAGTTTAACATACTAAATATTTCTATCTCATTTTTAATTACGCCTCTTTGCAGCGTCAACAAACAACGTAAGCCACAATAACACCGCTGTGGATTACGG